ACCCATTTTCTGCGAGGCATTTTAGCAGCGATGACTCCGATTTTGCATATCATAGCCCAGCGCATGCGCAAGGAGCCTAGACTCTGTGGGCGTGGTCAGAATCCCTCACCTGCCTTGCACACGTGATGCAGACGGAGCGTGCCCCCACTCCCATCCCCACACACATAGCAGTCCCCTGGCCCCTGGACTGGCCAATAGCAAACCGGGAAGGCCTGCCAGGGCTCAGGCTGTCCTGGAACTGAATTGCTGGCCTCTGGTTCACGCAGGAGTCGCGGCTGCCAGCGGGGGGGGGCAGGGGGGTGGAGGTGGTCGTCTACCACCAACTTGTACGCATGCGCAAGCCAGGAACCGCCCGCCCTTCCTCGCGCGGTAACGGCCAGCCACGCGGGAGCACAGTGCGCAGGCGTGCTGCTGAGGACCCCGCCCAGGCTACTTGGCTGAGGAGCGGAAGGCCTCGTCACCGCTGAGCTGAGAGGAAATGGCCGAAGGTCGGGGCTTTTGAATTCGGATCCCTCAGGAGCCATGGACCGGTCTGAAATGGGCGGAGGTACGAGCGGGAAGGCAGCTGGGGCCCCCTGGGGCGCTGGGCTCGCGAAGCCTCGGGGTGCGGGCCTTCGTGTGCCCCAACAGCGGCCGTGGTGGCGCCAGGCCCGACCGTTCCCTGCCTGGGACGGAACCCAAACCCCACTGTCCTGGAGTCGATTCAGACTCGGAGACTAGCGGACAGAGAGCTGAGCTCTCGGGCTGCCTCACCTTCCTCCTGAGGGCACTGGGCTTCGAGGTGCAGGCCGTGGGGTGCACAGCCGAGGTAGGCCCCCGCGCCACCAGGGAACCTTTGGAGAGTCTTTCGACTCGTCCACGAAGAGGAAGGCCTCGTTAGGCCTACTCAACACCTAGATTTGATTTATTTCATTTATGCCTAATTAGGCATACTCAACACCTAGATTTGATTTATTTCACTTATGCCTCATTAGGCATACTCAACACCTGGATTTGATTTATTTCACTTACACCGTGTTTGTTGTTTTTAAGGAATTGGTTGCAGTAGAGTTCGTGAGGCTTTCCAAACAAAACAGACATTTCCCTCGAACCACAACCCCTAAAACCCCTCTGCTATCGAGCTGAGTGACCTTATAGGGCCGGCCAGAACTATCCCTGTACGTTTCCAAGACTGTAACTCTTTGCGGGATTAGAAAGCCCCATTTTTCTCCCACAGAGTAGATAGTGGTTTGGAGTTGCTCACTTTGAGGATCACAGCCGAGTCTATTACCCACTGTGCCACTGTGGCTCCTCCACACACCTCCACACTTTGAGCATCCACTTGTAGCCAGTCTACACCACCGTTCCCTGATGCTCCAGATGGCAGCCACCTGGAGCCTGGCGGCACGCCTCTTGTCCCTGGAAAAAGCAGGTGCAGCTCATTCACATTCTACTGAAGTTCTAGAGCTGCAGCGCAGCAACAAAAAAAATGGAAATTTCTGCCCAGTTAATGTTTTTTTGAACTGGTGGTGTTGGACACTCCTTCAAGACCCACCTTTACCAGAGCTCCCCTGGTAAAAACAGGTGCTTGGTAATGTTTCACAAAGTAAATGTTTGATTAATAAAAAAAGTTAAGCACAGCTTGCTTACAGTGGGTCTTCACTCTAAAGACAAAGAGAAAAAGAAATGAGACAGATAAGTCTACATCCCTTGTTCATTAAGTGCCTAGTGTGGTCTTCCTAAGGAGCCCTGGTACCTCCAGCTGCTCCTGGGGAGAATTATGAGGCTTTCTACTCCTGTCAAGATGTACAGATTCAAAACCCCATGGGGAAGCTCTGCTCTGTCCTGCAGGGCGGCATGAATTTGAGTGGGCTCTGTGGCAGTGAGTTGGCAGTTTTGGTGGGTCTCCACCCACCAACCCACGGAAGTCTTAGTCACTGTTTCAAGTTACTCAAATAAGCTAGTACATTTAAGGGAAAGTTTATTCAATTTCAACAGCAAATGAAGATGTTTAAACTTTCAGGAATGGTGGGTGTAACGTGTTACCCTGTAGACACACATGCCTCTCCACACTAAGGGGAAACTGGTTAATAAGGTGTCTTAAGTCTCTTTTAACCTGCAAAGGTGTATACCCACAGTAGCACCTCTGGCAGGATTTATAATATTGAAATGTTGGGGTTTTTTTTCCCGCTTTCAGTCACCTTCACACTGAACACAGATGGACCCTCACTGTTGGTAGCAAAATGTGGGGAAGAAATCGATAAATATATATTTTTTAAAAGAAATCGACAAATCAAAGTATACTCATGAACACTGTTGAAATACCTGGGCAGAGGATTTCTAAAATGAGAAAGACAAGTTAAATTTTAAAATTTGACATTATTAGGTGTGTGTAGACTGACACAGGCAGCCTTCACAGGAGACCCTTGAAGACAGGAAAAGAAGGAAATGATCATTGGTGTGCTGCAGAGAAACGACTGCGGCCGCACTCACGGTGTGTGGCTGTGGGAAAGGGATTTGAGGCTAGGACTTGAGGTGGAAAGGAGCCCTGCTGATGTAGTGAGTTCAGTGTTGGGTTGCTAACCAAATGCTCAGTGGTTCAATCCTACTTGTCACACTGGAAAAATACAGTCTCAGAAATGATATGAGGCAGTTTCACTCTGCCCTGTTGGGTCACTATAAGTTGGAATCGACTTGATGGCATTGGTTTACAGAGTTTAAGTCGTTTTGAATCATATTGTTTAATTTTTTAATTGCAAAAATATAGTGTTTGTGGAATGGAGATGGGGGAACTTTTTGAATGGCATTTGAGGTGAGCCCCATCACTGAATCCCTGGCTTTGATTGTTGTGCCATCAGTTGCTGCATGGAGAGTGTCTTTGTCTTCAGACTTCACAGTGGGCTGTTGTGGGGTAGTGGGGAATTGCATCTGCAACTTCATCAAGGTTTCAAATATTTCAGATGTCAATATACACGAATATAAGTGAAGGGCATATAGGAACTATTATGTAAATTTGATGTAACCATAAAAGTTTAAAGGATGGAGCTCATACTATACAAATTATTTCCTACCCTGGATTTTCATTCTGATATAGTTGGCCTAATTAGCAGATAATTACTGACCCACTCTGCTTTACCTTGTAACGAGCACTAGAAGGCCATGGAGAATGAAAACAGGCGGAGCTCACGTTCTAGTCTTCCCATGATTCTGCATGGAGATGTGGTTGCCCAAACCAACTGTAGAGGCTTCAGAGACCAGGGATTTAAATCCTGTCTGAGTATTGTGATTTGGGGTCTGGGTTTATGAGGGAAAATGTCCTTTATTTTTAGACATGCATCCTGGTATTTGGGCATTAGATGTCAAGTATTGGATATCAAATGTCAAGAAGCCTTGGAAGGAATTCAGGGAGAAAAAATATTGACACAAATATAGTAAAATGCTAATAATGATCAGATCTAGGTTATGATTGAATTGGGTTTATTACAGTATCACTTCTACTTTGAGTGCTCTTAATTTTTGATAAGACAAATTTTCAAACGTTATCAGTAACTCCCTTTTTCATTAATAGAGTAGCTTTAATTTGTAAAGAAAGGTAAAGGGGGGTGAGATTTTTAAATGTGAAAAATTTGAATTGAAAGATACAGTGAACCCTCGCCACTTCGCGCTTCAACTTCCGCGGCTTCACTCTATCGCAGTTTTTGCGTAACAGCGCATGCTCTGTCATTACCGCCACTGATTGGCTCATACTGCACATGCTTCTGTCTGCATCGCTACGTATCGGAGCTACGTATCAGATGCATCTTTGCTTTTGTACATTGTACTGTAATTGTTTGCGATTTTTAAGAAATTTTATCTAAGCCCTATGATGGCTCCTAAACGAGCTGCTTCTTCTAAGCCTTCTGACAATAAAAATAAGCGCCAGAGGAAGATGCTCACCATCCAGGAAAAGGTAAAACTTTTGGATATGATCAAAGATGCCAAGAAAATCGTGGAGGTTGCACGCCATTTTGACTTGAATGAGTCTTCCGTTCACTCCATCCGTTGTACTTCATAATATAATAAATAATAAATGATAATTGTAACGTCCAAAATGTTTTACTGTATTTTCCCTTTTTCGTTTAATAAATTGGGTAATACGAGTGTAATGGTGACTAAAGGGTGTTTTTTCATGTCCTCTGCTCTAACTACGAAAATATTTGATTTACAAATAAGGAATCCTACTTCGCGGAATTTAATTTATCACGGTAGGGACTAGAACCGATTAACTGCGATAAATGAGGGTTCACTGTAATGGAATTATTCTACAAAACATTTTAAGCCCCCCTGACTATTTCAGGAAATAGTCTGGAAAGGTTAGCACTCTTAAAAAAAAAACAAAAAACAACATTACCTCTAAATGATAGCAACAATAATTTCTTTGTTTAATCACTTAGTAATTTTTCAAGTGCTCATGATATCTTTATACAGTATATGTTTCAATAAGGATCCAAGTATGATCCAACCCATCCATAGGTATTTCACACTTTCTTGTTTTGAGATCTTGGTTTTGTTTCCACAGGGCAGGCCAAGTCCTCAAAGAAAATTGAAGACTTGATGGAAATGGTGAAAAAGCTACAGAAAGGTCATATGTCTCTACTATGTCTGTGGTTCAGGGTCAAGGAGATAGAGGTTCAATTCTAGCCTCACAATTCATAAACTGGTGAATTGTCCCATTTACTTTCTTTTAAAACTGAACAATATGGCCCCATGGTTCAAAATTACAAAGGAATAAGAGGCAAATTGTTGTCCCCCAACCCTGTTCTAACTTCTTGTTTGCCACCCTTTGGCTCTCACTATACTCCATTAAATTCAGCTATGTTATTTGCAACCCCCTTAACCTCCCTTCCCTCCACTTCACCTACTGTCTATTGCTCACCAGACTCCTGCTAGCCACAGTCTTACTTACTACTAGGCTTCCCACGCACATAGAGCTTCAGGGCCTTCTCAGTTGATTTGGGGCCATCAGAAAGCCTTTCCAAAGCTAAAGAAGCACATCCCAACCCATTACTCATTTTTATTTGCCCCATTTCTTTAGTCTTTACCTGACTCACTGTCCTTATCTATTTTTCCTTTGTTCCGCCACACCATCCCACCAAATAAACTACATGAGGGCCCAACACAGTACCTGTTAAAAGTAGGAGCTCAATGGATTTGTGTTGAATGCATCAGCAGAGACACAGGACTGGTGCCCACGCCATCTCTGCTGCTCTGGACAGCCTGCCATGTGTCATCTTCAGCTCAATTGCTTTTTCTTTTTCTTTTTTCTCTTTTTGGACCTCTATAGCGGGAAGCCTGGAGCCTCAGGTTGAAGTCCTGATTAACCGGATTAATGAGGTTCAACAAGGTAAGTTTAAGGATTTTCAAGGCCCAGTGGAAAGGTAAAACACACACCTTTTGTATAAAAATTACTATGAATTTCAAAACTGACAGTTAAACATTAAACCAAGTGTAGGGACTTGTGCTGCTTCCAAGTCACACATATGATGCCCACCCTGCTGCCAGCCAAGCTCAGCAAGAAAGCCATGGACCCTGGAAGGCCTTTATTTTCTGCAAACTTTGAGCCCCTTTAGGTTTGCAAGAGAACAAGGCTGGAAGCAGCACTCACACAGTCTGCCCTGTCTTTGGTCCAGCCAAAAAGAAAGCCAGTGAGGAGCTGGGAGAGACCAGGGCCCTCTGGGAAGCCCTGCAGAAAGAACTGGACTCAAGTAAGTGCTGTGTGTCCCCAGGGTTCCACACAATACCTCTTGCCCTTGATCCAAATCATCCAGATACTCGAGTCCTCATCATAGCCCCTAGAATCCCCTGTCTCCTTCAGCCATACCTCCAACAACCTCCTACTTTGCTGTGGAAATGCTCTTGAGGTACACTTCAAGCAGCACCTGCTTCTGTGTGTGTGGAAGACTCTTCCTCTCAGAAACTCGACAGCCTTCCATCCCCACTCAGCCCTCATGTTGCCTCTCCGAGAGGCTTACCCTGGTCTTCCCATCTGAAGACTGTATCCTGTTCCTCCCTAATCACGTGCAACCATGCTGCTGGACAGTTCCTTCATAGCCCTCATCCCCATCCCTGTCGTGTGTTTCTCTCTCTCCCCCTTTGGTAAAAGTGTGTGCTTTCTGCAGGGTTTTCACACAACCACCTGTAAATGTCAGGGCTTGGGGTGATTACAGGGAAGGAAGGTGGGCACAAGGAGCAGGGGGCTTGCCTTAAGGTATCCACAGTAGGAAGTGTGGGCATGGCTATGATAAAGCTATGTGACTTTGGTGAACCCCATTCCTCATACCTGAGTGTGTCACTGTTTTCCAGTGAATGGAGAGAAGGTGCGCTTGGAGGAGACCTTGAACACAAAGCAAGGTATTTGAGCTGCTTAGAGTCTACTCTTGCTGTTGCTGCACCCATAGAAGCCCACCTGTGCCCCAGCAGCAAGAACCTTCTGACCCCAGAACTGGCCTGCCTCCCTCCTGTGGCTCCCTCCTGTGGCTCCCATCAGACTCATGGTCTGACTGTTGACCTAACATGACCTGACTGGTGGCCCCTGTCCAATCCCAGTGTCCTTGATAAGCTTTCACGGGCTCCCTCGTTCCTCCCCTTGCAGAGACACTGAGGATCCTGCGGCTGCACTGTGAGGAGAAAGACAGTGAGGCACAGAGGTAAGAGGCTCAGCCCAAGCCTTGCTCTAAACCTCCATACTAGCACAGCAGAGAAGGCATGGGGTATATTCCAGACACACTGTCACCATGCTCTTCAGTAACAGGAGAGACCAGGGTGAGCGGCTTCCTTGTTCAACATCAGACCATGTTCTTATGGACAGCTGCCATAAGTCGTTCCTTTGCTAGTTTGTCCATTAAGTTCCTTTCAAACTAAGACCAAACTTTTTGCCATCAAGTGAATTCTGACTCATAGTGACCCTACAGAATCCTTCACTTGGATTTTGTGCCTGTCATTCTACATCATCCAGCTCCTTGGCTATCTTTCCATTCATTTAGGCATCTAGTCATTCTGCCCATCCATCCAACCATCTAATAACCATCCACCCATACACCTATCTCCATCCATCCATCCATGAAACTAACTGACCATCTCTCTACCTCCTAAATGCTAATTTATTTCATTTTTTGTGACAAAAGGCTCCAAGCGCTTACGTCCCCAAATTGAAAGTGCTTAGGAAAACCTGATGAGTGTGTGTGTGTGTATACTCAACCGTGACCATGGTGATAAGCCCTAATCCTCACAATGGTACTCTGTGAGGCAGGTACCCATGTCACCCCCTGCCCCCCAAACCGTGTTCTAGAGAAGGAACCTCAGAGGGAAAACACTGGATTCCAGTCACAACGGCAGAGCCAAGGTTCTCAGCCAGGTCTGCAGCACCCATGACACCAAAACATTAGATCCATACTCGGGCAGGTAGAAGACAGGATGGGTGGTGATGGTCTTCAAAGAACACCTGACAGCAAGAAGCATCTCATGTCAACCCCACATCCTCCTAAGGGTCACTTGGAGTGCATGGCTGAGACCTGCTTTGTCCCTTGTCAGGAAGAACACTGTGTTGCAGGACTGCAAGGACCGAATTTCTGCCCTGAATGCCCAGATCGAGGAAGAGAAGAACAAACAGAGGCAGCTGAGGTAATTCAGAGGCTAGGGGTAGGGGTACATGTCAGGGCATGAGCAGGGAGAACCCTGGCCCAGCCGGCGTGCGTGCGTGTGTGTGTGTGTGTGTGTTTGGGTGTTTGGGGCAAGGGTGGTGGGATCTCAGACCAGGGCCCTTTCTTCTTATACTGTTGGCTTGTAGATTGGAGTTCGAGGAACAACTGGAGGCTCTGATGGGCCAGCACAAGGACCTCTGGGAATTCCACGTGAGTCTTGCCTTACCTCAAAGCCAATTCTCTCACCTTCCACATCTTCCTTGGTGGCATCTCCTGGCCAGGACCAAGCCAGGTTCATCCTAAATACCTTCCGCCTCTCACCTGCAACACAGTTCTGAACAGGCCCTGGTGATTATAAGGTTGCAATTGTTCTGACTCCAGTCCATCTCACTGTCCTACTGCTGCTAGTGTCCTCCTCAGAGCCCAGGTTGGGCATTCGTTCCTGGCTGCCCATGGCCCAGGCAAGATAGTGTTTGCCACCCTGCACTTCTGTGTGTGTAGCAGAGGAGGGTACCAGATGCCAGATAAGAAAACAGTGTGCAGTTCAGGGTGGGCATAGGGAAATGCTGTGTTGTGCAAATCCTCCCACTGGGCTGACTTCTACACTTGCCACAGTACTGACCACAGCGCACCAGGTATGGGTCTCTCAGGTGAGAGTTCATGGAAGAGGGAAGGGCCAGTGCAAGGGTCTGAGGTTGCAGGAGGAGATACTGGGAGGCACCCTGAGTAAATAAAACATTTGAATGGATGAATGACAGGACCTCGGTAGGACTTCCCTGATGCACAGTGAATGCTGGGAAGTGAGGACTGATCTTGTTTCTGCCCCTTAGAGACCAGAGCAGCTAACACAGGAGATGGGTGCCCTGGACAGCGGTAAGGAGCAAATGCTCAAAGAAGGTGAGGCCAGGGCATTGGAGGTGAGGTGAGTAGGCAGCTCTCACCTGCCAATCCTGCTCTCATCCCTACCCTTAACTGTCTTTCCGCCCGCTTGCCCCTTCCCATCTCAGAGAAGCTGATCAAGGCGAAGCTGGAAGATGCCAAGCATCGATTGTACTCCCTGTGTGGGCCTGGAGGTCCCTCAACCATCAATGAGGGGCTCTTCCTTCGCAGCAAGGAAGCTATGGCTGCTGTGTAAGAATGGGGTGGTGAAGAGGCTGGGAAGGTGGGAGAGGGGGCTGGTGCCGACCCCCCCCATCACCCCGCAGGAAGCTGTTTGAGGAAGAGAATGGAAAGGCTGAGGAGCTCCTGGAGGCTGTGGCCCAGCGCCAACAGCAGCTGCAAGAGAAGTGCCAGCAGTTACAGGAGAAACGGCAAAGGTGGTTTTGAAGTCCCCAGCCCTGGGTGGGCATCGATGGATTGCCTCATCCTTGGGGCTTCACACCATTTTGTTCCTCCCCCCAACACACTGTCCAGGCTGAAGGAGGAGCTGGAGAAGTATGGTGTGCCGGTTCCCACCCAACCACACAATACCCAAGAGGAAGGAGCTCTCTCTGGAGAGGTGGGGAGCCCAGGGAATAGGGTGGGGAGGAGGCTAGAGAGCAGGACTGCTGGGAAGGGCATTCTCAGCAGGGGTCACAACAATGTCAGAGACATTGGTGGGCACATGGGAAAAAGGCTTGAGGGGTGGGCATGGGTACCTACTGATTCCCACCCAAAACCCCGATCTCTCTTCCCTCCCAGACAGAGCACCTCCCATTTACCAGCCCCAAGACCTTTGGAGTCCATGAGGAAAAAGACTTGGAGCCACCCACTAAGTAGGGCCCAACACCACTCTAGTTTGGAAGACACCTCACCATGTACCCCTGTACCCACTTCTCCCTGTCCCAAATTTACTCTGGGCCGTAGAAAATAAAGCTACTACTTTTGTACTATTTACTTCCGTTGAGGGATTGCTGGGGGCTGGGCCTTATCATACTGAAGGCTACAATCCTTAGTCTTCATCAACAAGTGCTTCAAGTTTTTAGCAAGCAGGGTTGTGTCATCTGCCTATTGCAGTTTTTCTCCAACTCTGATGCCACATTCTTCTTCATATAATCCACTAAGTGCCTATTGCTAAATGATCCCTCCATGGAAATTTCAGTGACCAATACAAAGCGCTGAGTGGTGCTGCTCAAGTGTGCTTTGCCAGGGCCAGAGCCATGCCTGCAAGATGTTAGATACATCCACGGAGGTAGCTCTGGCTGGGTTCCAACAGCCACCCTTCATTGTCTTCACCGCTAGCCCCCCCCCTCATTAAAAACCCATTGCTGTTGAGTCCATTCTAACAGCACATTGTGAGGTGGTGTCAACCTTGTGAAACAGACAAGGAGGGACACTGGAGCCCTCTTGCCAAATTATTTGCAAAGTCATCCAATGAAAATTACAAGCAAACAGAAGAGCTTAGAATCCACATCCTGGAAAGGACGGGCAGGTTGAGTTAACGTCTCAAGCTCCTTAAGAGGTGGGTTTCAGAAAGCTCAGGTGTCAACCGTGAACAGTGAAAAGCCTACCATGACCCCAGATAAAACCTGAGGAGAAGGAAGTGGGCTGCCAAGGACCACAAGTGGGCCACATCACATCCCAGAATCACTCCCAGCAAGCCTGGCAGCAAAATCCACCTTGAAGAACAACTACACACAACCTAGTAACTTGGCCCAGCTTATTCCAAGTAAACCGCACCCTTTCCAGAATTTTACTATGTTGCACCTTGGGGAGGATAAAACCCTGGCCCCTTAGTTGAGAAATTTTTCTAAATCTAGCAAAAATTTGCAAGCACGTATTTTCTAAAAGTCACTGTGGGGGTCCTTCAAAGGACATTTCATTAAACTGAAGAAAACAGGAATTATATAGGGTCAGCAGTGGTTCATGAGAAAATGTAGCAATTCTCATTTGAAAATGACATCAAGGGGTTCTGGTTAAGATGGCACCAAGGTAAGCAGTCCATTCGGGGAGCTCCAGTGAGTCGGGTGTCTGGGAGGTGAAGTGGAAGTGTTCTGGTGAGTGGAAAGGTCCCTACGAGGGGTCCCCATCCAGGAGGGGGCCCTGACCCATACCTGCTTTATTTGGAGACCTGGGTCCATGTATCGGATTTCCTGCCGGCTGTGCAACCCCTGTGCACCTGCCACCAGACAGTGCCTCCCCCCATCCACCCACTGGCCTGGTCGCTGCCCCAGGAACAGGATAGCTATCGGGTAGAGCTCCCCAAGGCTGGGCCTGACCACCACATAGTATCTGTCCACTTGACGCTCCCACCTGAGCAAGCTGTGCCCGTCTCCCAAGGTTCCCCGCCCCCCCACTTACAGGGGGCTAGCAGTGATTGTGCCTGCAAGCTCTGTTCCTCCCAGCAGCTTCCCAGGGCCCCAGGAATGAACCCAAAGCAGGTTGGTGGGTCCCAGCCCCAGCCATTTCAAGGGTGCCTCAGCTTATTGTATTCCCAGCATCTCGCCAGCTACAGGGAGCGGCACTGCACTTCCTGCCCACCATTTCCCTTTCCTGGTGCCTTCTGACAGCCCCTGCATCTCCCAACCCCCTTTTCTCCCAGTCCAGCAAACTGTGCCGCACCCTGCCTCCGCCCGAGCCGCAGGAAGTCCAAGTAGCCTGCTGCACAAACTCACCCAAATCCATGGCAAAGTGGAGAATGGGACCAGGTCTTTTAGAGCTCACCGCCTGCAGCCTTCACACCTGGTCTTATAGGCCGTGCACCACTTCTGTCTTAGCATGGGAGTCTGAGAAACTCAGACCCAGGCCTGGCAGGTCCGCCTTGAGTTGCCTCGCCCAGAGTTGCAGGCTGGGTCTTTGCAGGTCCACTGTGTGCTACCTCACCCAGAGCCGCAGAGAGTCACAGACCAGGTCCTTGTAGTCCCACCCAGAAAGCACCTGATCCCCGGGGCTTCAGATAGGCACTACCTAGGTCTATCGCAACTTAGAGATCTTTGATGCCCCGTCTGCTCCCAGCCCACACAGTGAGTGGATCAATGGGGAGTACATCCCAGACCCATAGGGCATCCACCTCAAACCTAAGCTAGTACCAGAATACTAGGGACCAGCAACCCAGTACTGGGAGCTACCACAGCCCAGGTGGGTCACATCACCATAGGCCATAACAGCAATGCCACCTGTCTATTGCCCCCCTATAGCCATACCAGTGTATTGGAGCTATCCACCAGTCAAATTGAGTTCCCCATAGCGGTCCCCAACAGTGCTGGCCACCTCTCACCACTGTTGACCACTGAGTCGCCATGGCACCTGCCTTCACAGCAGCCTGACCAACCTCCATAGTAGGCCACAGGCATCCCTTGGAAACACAGTCGCCAGTCACACAGTGAAAGTACACAGGGCCACGTGGTCTCCCATAAATATGGCGCCCACCTCTTCGAAATCATTATGTAAACAACATCAGCACATCACTCCCAACAAGTAAACAAGAAAGACAAACCACATCAGCAGAGCTAACGACGCTCATAGAAGAATCTGACGTGGATCTGCCACAAAAAGAAATTTTCAGAAGGCTGCTTGGAGTAATACAGGAGATGAGGGAAGCTACACAGACTAAGAATGCAATGACAGAGAGGATGAAGGCCACAGTAGAGGGGATGAAGTCTATGCATCAAAGGGAAATACAGGAGCTAACGGATGAAGTAGCAGAAGCCGCACACAAGATCACTGATCTCACAAACAGACTAGAGTAGGCTGAGAAATGTATCAATGATCTTGAAGACAATCAGGCAGACCTCAGCAAATGAGAAAGACAATAAAACAAGATAATAAAGGAGGTGGAAGAAAACCTGAAATCAATGCCTGGTGCTATGAAAAGGAACAGCATCCGAATTATTGGCCTGCCAGAACAAGACAGTGAAGAAGTCAACAGCATATTAACAAGGGAATTTGTGGAAGAAAATTTCCCCACCCTAATAAATGAGAATCAGTCTCTCATACAGGAAACAGAGAGGACACCAAGTAGATTAAACCCCAGGAAGAGCTCGCCAAGGCATATAATAGCTAAACTATCCAACTTCGAGGAAAAAAAAGAAAATCCTAAGAGCAGCAAGGGAAAGGAAGACAGTCACATACAAGGGCTCTCAGGTAAGAATGTACTCAGACCTATCAACAGAAACCATGAAGAGGAGGAGAGAGTGGACTAATATCTTCCAAAAGCTGAAAGAAAGGAATGCCTCCCCTAGAATCCTTTACCCTACCAAATTATCTATTAAGATAGTAGGAGAGATAATGGTTTTCAAGGACAAGGAAAAACTTAAAGAATACGCTGCAAGACACCCAACCTGAGGAAGATCCTTGCGAACTCACTATGGCCAGAAGACCAACGTCCAACAAGCACAAACAGGAGAACACCATATAGCCCAACTCCAACCAGAAGTCAACGAGCTGACACCAATCACCAAGATAACATGGCCACAGAGAGAAAAGATGGCAATAAAGAAGCCCCCTACAAAGGCACAGCACAGCGATAGAAGGGTGATAGGAAAACATCCAAATCAAAAGGCACAAGATATCAGCAACAAATCCACAGATCACGTTAATAATTCTAAATGCCAATGGCCTTAACTCCTATATTAAAATAAAAAGGCTTGCAGACTGGCTTGGAAAATGTAGCCCATCAATCTGTTGCCTGCAAGCAACATATCTTACACTTGCAAACAAGAATAAACTAAGGTTAAAAGGCTGGAGGAAGATACACCAGGCAAATGGCAACTCAAAAAAAGCAGGAGTCGCAATCCTAATCTCAGACAAAACTGATCTCAAGGTTCAACCCATAGAAAGAGATAAGGAAGGGCACTTTATGAAGCTCAAAGGATCATGTTACCAGGAAACTGTGAGCATAGTAAATATATATGCACCAAGTGAGACACCCACAAAATCTGTCAGACAAACTATTTAGAAAATGAAAAAACATATCACAGACTCAACTATTATAGTGAGGGACTTTAATACACCGATTTCAGAGGAAGATAGATCATTGGGAAGGAAGCTCAGCAAAGAGATGACAGAGCTAAACACTACAATTAGGCAACCAGATATGATAGACATATTTAGAGCTTTCCATCCAAATGCAAAAAACATGCACATTTTTCTCAAGCAAGCATGGCACATTTTCTAAAATAGACCACATGCTGGGGCACAAGTCAAACCTGAGTAAATTGAAATACATAGAGATTATACAGACGTCCTTCTCTGATCACCATGCCATAAAGCTGGAGATCAATAAAAGTATGACCAGAAAAACAAGGGCCAACAACTTGAGGATGAATAATGATCTGCAACATGAGTGGGTACTGACCCAGATTAGAGGGGAGATCAAAAAGTCTCTAGAAGCTAATGAGAATGAGAATACTTCGTATCAAAACCTATGGAATACGGCAAGGGCAGTCATCAGAGGTAGCTTGATTGCAATAGGAGCATATATGAAAAAGGCAGAGAGACGTGTGATGAATACGCTCCCACAAAATCTCCAGCAATTAGAATAGAGTCGACAGAACAATCCCTCCAAGAGCAAAAGAAAAGAAATAATAAAAATCAGGGCAGAACTGAACCACCGGGAAGACAAAAGAACAAAGCAGAAGATTAATGCAACAAAAAGCAGGTTCTTTGAAAGGATCAATAGAATCGATAGACCACTGGCAAACCTAACCAAAGAAAGAAAAGCACATACAAAAATAGACAGGATGAGGAATGAAACCGGGGTAATCAAAACAGACCCTAATGAGATTAAAGGGATAATCACAAAGTACTATGAAAGCCTGTACTCCAATGAGTTCAACAACGTAGAAGACCTGGACAAATACTTGGAAAAACAATCCCTTCCTAGACTATCCCAGATAGAGGTCACGAACCTAAACAAACCCATAGCAAAAGAATAAATAGATATGGTTATCAAGAAG